TGCAGGTGCAACATTCATATAACGAGCAAAATGGGGTGCAAAAAATGAGTGAGAGGATTCAGGGTCAATTAAGACTTTAGCATTTATATCACAAATTAAAAACATACCTCTGGTCACCGAGGTGGATGCCTTGGCCTCTTGTTCAGCGAACACTCGTCATTGGGTCTTCGAGCGATCCTCGGCCTTCATCATCGGGCAGTCCTTTGCCCATTGGCTAGGCTTGCCGCATTTCAGACATACATACTTCTTTCGATAGCATTCCGTGGCAGTGTGGTTGCTTCTTCCACAATAAGTACAAATAGGGCGTCAGTTAGTGTCCATATTGCCTGGAAGACTCTTTGGGATCCTTGGGTTAGGTGGGTAGGGCTTCCCTCTGGCATTTCTCCTCGAAAACTATCGGGGTTTCTTCCCAAACTTCCCTAACGACACTACTTTCATTTTCCCTCCTTAACATGTGATCCTCGCAGTCTCTTTCCCTCTTTAGGGCATAGACTACCATCGGGGCGTATGACTTTATATTGGCCGACATCACTCTATTCCTGATATCTAGTCGCAAACCCCTTTCAAATTTAGCTGCCTTTCACACCTCAATATTTATGATGTGGGGCGCATACCTAGAGAACTCTGCGAACCGAGGGGCGTATTGTTCAACTGTCATATCCCCTTGCTGGAGTTTAATAAATTCTACTTCCTTCCTTTCCTTGACGGAATCGGGGAAGTACTTCTTGTTGAATCCTGCGAAGAAGTTTTCCCAGGTGACATCGGCCCCTGTCTCTCTCCAAGTCTGTTTCACTGAGTCCCACGAGTACTCTACCTTCCCTTCCAGCAAGGCCCCTAGCCTAACTTTTTGTTTATCTGAGCAGTGTCACACCTCTAAAATTTATGCATTATTTCTTCCACCTCTCAACCTTCTCCACTCCTCCATGCCCCAAAATAATTGGGGGTGTCATTCTCCTAAACCTCTCCATGAGGCTACTGTCATTCAGCTCTGGTGTAGGCGTAGATTGGATTGGCATCGATTCCTCCATCATTTGGGTCATAACCCCTAGAGTTCCATAAAACTCACCGAGTGCCTCGGTATTGTCATTACTGGAACTCGTGTTGTGGGTACGAGCTCTCGACATCTTTAACCTAGTCACAGGAACACCCAGTCACTTGGCCTAGTTAGGAGAGTCCTTAGATTAGTGACTGGGTGTTCCTGTCACTAATCTAAGGACTCTCCTAACTAGGCCAAGAATTCTAAGGACTCTTGGGTTGTGGGTACGAGCTCTCGACATCTTTAACCTACCCCAAAACTAATCTAAGGACTCTCCTAACTAGGCCAAGAATTCTACCGTGGCTGCTCTGATACCATAACTGTTACGATCTCGGCCTCGACCATCATGCCTCGTGGCAACCGGCGATCCAGCGCGGGTTCGTGATCCAATGTAATGTCGTCACTCAGGAAGGAGTGGATTCAACGCCTTTCTTTTTGGTAATCGAGCAAACTATGGAAAAGAACTAAAACAATAACTCAACTAGCAGATGAACAAAGAAAATCCCAACACCACAAATCCATTATATATAAATTTCTTCCAAAATGTTACATTCAGTTCAGGGCGTCTAGGCCTAATATTACATATATCAGCAAAGAACAAAAACCCAAGGACAGCTCAGACACAAACAAGGTCTAAGCACATTCTTCACAGAATCGAGCTTCAACTTCCTGCTGCAAAACACAAACTCCAAGGCTTGAACCTGACGCTATCAATGTACAAGGAGGGGAGATATAATGGAATGAGCTATACAGCCCAGTAAGCAGATCTAGTATTATGCATCTATAGTGATATTATCCATGTGTGATAACAATTTAATCCATCAATATAAAATCATAGCTTAGCACATATGAAGGTTAGATCAAGACCACGAGTATGAACATTTCATTTACATGGTAGTCATCACTAAATCAGTGCGATCATGAGCATTCAATCAGTGATATCATTAACATTCAATTGGTGCAATCCTAAACATTCCTTATTCAAAAATTCGATTATTACCCACTCACTCCCTAAATCACCTACTCCTGCAGTAGAGGCCCTATCCATCAGGCTAAGCCAATCCCATTGCTTAAGACATCTACCATCATATAGGAGAGAGGGTAATGACAAGTGGGCTAATCCACTTTGTAATACCCTCAACACACTCACACATTCCCAGCGCGCATTTGGGGTTTGATAAGCTCTTACCTTGCAAGGCATCAATCATTTCATTTCATTTCATGAACCTAGGGTACTACCCTCTATCCTCTCCCTTAACCCGTTCCTATCATTATGCAGGTTAGGGGATATGCCGGCATCACTTTCCCTACTACCAATGAGTGTCCCACCACATAGCAGGTGATATCATAACAGTATCAACTACCGGTGAGTGTCCAACCGCGTAGTGGTCAATATCAATATAAGCAGCAGCCATTCATCACTATATCATAATAGTATCCACTACCGGTGAGTGTCCCATCGTGTAACGTTCAATATCAATATAAGCAGTGGTCATCCATCACAATATCATAATAGTATCCACTACAGGTGAGTGTCCCACCGCGTAATGGTCAATATCAATATAAGCAGTGGCCATCCATTACAATATCATAATAGTACCCACTACCGATGAGTGTCTCACTGCGTAATGGTTAATATCAATATAAGCAGTGGCCATCCATCATAATAAAGCATTCAGTTCATTCACATCACTCAATGTCTCATACAGATGAATCATATTTCATCATATCATCATATCATTTGGCAAAAGTCATTTATTTCATAAGCTTTCATAGGGCATTTACACATAAATTTTCTCAGTAGCAATTGGCATTCATTATGAATTCATTTCATCACTATTGTGCTCGTGGTTGGCTCCTTGTTCTCACATAGTGCAGTCATAAGACATCATTCACATATCTTTATGGCATTCACATGAAATTTATCATATGGTATTCACATTTATCACATATCAAAAAAGTTTAGTGTCGCATGGATATAAAATTGGGGCAGTGACATGTAACTGTGACACGCCCCTCTTAGCGAGGGCGTAGCTCCTGATCTATGGGGAGTTTCAGAAGGCCTCAAACATGAAACTTTGAGCTTATCCGTAGATCATGACAAAGACAATAATTTGAAAGAATTTGGGTGTCATTTGATGGGTCTATAGCTCAGTGCAAAGTGAGCATTGGTTGCTAGAATTTTTCCCTGCAACAGTGCATGATGATATATTAGCGCATTTCAGGGCATAATTCAAAATCTGTGGGAAATTTCAAGAACCTCAAAACATGCAACTTTGAGTACATTCACAAATCTTTCCAATGATGCAATTTTAAGGTTTTTGGATACCGTTTACTGGGTCAAAAGCATGACCTAAAGAGGGCAACAGTTGCTGAAATTAACAGCGACTGTGAGTAGTGTCATATCTCGACATCTTAGGCCATATCTTTTAATCCATGCACAATTTTATCATGACATAAAGAGTAAACTTGGAGTAGACATGCATATCTTCCATTTGGACCGATTTGGTCCCATTTGGATGCCATTTGGCCATCCAACATGTTGATACAAAATAGTCACAGTCTTGTCAATTCTTATTTTATAGTTAACATGCCTTTAAAGAACACTTAATAATTCCCTGCCAAGCTACACTTTGGGCTTGGAACCTTGTTCATGATAAGGAGTCTCACAGTGTGAAATTTCATGAGTTTCCATCAATAAAAAGATCATATATGTGGTAAAAACAGTCATGACATTTAGAGGTACAAATCTGAAATTTCAACCTCATGTTAACCCATTCATGCTTCATATTTTTCATTCTATCATCTTACCCATTCTAAATATTTGTTCTTTACATAAACCATGGATGCATAGAAGGTAAACCCACTTACCTTAAACTCCCACGGTATCTCCTATTCCCACTCACTGCCTTCACAGGCTTTCCCTAGCTCCACCAGTGGGCTGTCTTTAAGGGGCAACAATGGACTTCAAGAGATAGAGAATAGTTGAGAAAAATGGGAGAGACTCGTGTTGCCCAAGGCTTAAAAAGAAGAGGGTGGTTGAAAAACACTGTGACACGTATGGAGCAGCGCGAACAGGTGACAACTGTATGATTGACCAAACACACACGGCGATGGTCCCATACATAGCCGGCGATGCTCACTTACGTAGCCGACGTTGCTCACTTACGTAGCCGACGTTGCTCACTTACACAATCGGCGTTGGCCCTCCACATGCGACGCTACCTCTCGCACACGTGGTAATGTTCTTCTTTCTCTCTTCTACTCAAGCGGCGCTAGGTTTTGAATTCTCAAACGGCTATGGGTCTCATTACACAGCCGGCACTACGTCTTCCTTACACAGCTGGCGCTGTGTTTTCTTTACATAGCCGGCGCTACGTCTCTCTTACATAGCCGGCGCTGGGCTCTCAAACATGCATGGCGACGCTCCAAACGGTGCTAGGCCTCTATCTCATTCTCTTTCGCCGTGCGCGTCACTGGATTGAGAGAAAATGGTGGTACTTACAATAATAAATATATAATTTATAATGTTATATTGTATAATATTATATTTTATAATATTATATTTTATAATATTATGTTATATGTTATGTTATATATTTATATTTATTTTATTAATACTAATATTATATATTATATTATACATATATTCTCTACTGTTATAGAATATATTATAGATATATATAATATAATACAAATTCTATTAATAAAATAAATATAAATAGCTAGTATATAATATGATATAATACAATACAATATAATAAAATATTATCATAATATAATGTTATATAATAATATTATTGAAATATAATTTATATATTGTATAATATATAAAAAAATTATATAATATATTATGTTGTAAATAGTTAGTAGTGAATAGTGATGTTTGTTGAAAACTAACTTGCGTAGCTTCATATAAATAGAAATGTTTTCTTTCAGAAAATCAAACACGCCCCCAACGAAACTTCTCGTGGGAAAGAATTGGAAGCGCATTATTAACCTAGCTGGATGGGCCGGGTTTCTCTTCACAAACTGTGATCTAAAAAATCCTCTTCCTCATTCGTGAAAAACCATTTTCTCTCTCTGTAACCACTAACGCCCTTATAGGATGGGGAGAAATCTGCTTTCCTGTCCAGTCCAAGACGCCATATCTAACGCCAAATATATCCTTCATCTAGATAAGTCGGGTTGTGTCTGGATTCCAAGTTGTGATCTTAAATAGCCCAATTTGACGATGAACCCCTTGTGAAATCTCTTTCGCTGTAGTACACAGACATTCTGAGTAAACTGAGTTTTCAAAGAAGAATAAAGTTTTTGGTTTTGCAATGGTGGAGGAAAATGCGAAGAAGGAGAGGAGGGTAGAGTCTTTGGGATGGCTTACGGAATCCTCTGTTATGCCAAAGAAGCACAAAACAATCGAAGGGGTGAGTGCGTCTTCAATTGTAGAGCTCAGGGCACAGCTCTATAGGACCCAAGAAGAGGCTAAGAAAGTCAAGGATTTGGCTCCTGATATCGAGTTCCATCGTGCAAAGAAGAAGGTCGTGCCTGTTGATGTCCACTCTCGAAAGAATGCAGGGGTTGAGAGCCGCGCTAACAAGTACTTCCCCTGTCCACCGGCCTTTTTTTTTTTTCTAATCTTGCTTTTGTTCTTAATGGGTTTTTTACGATTATATATTCAACTCGTTTCTGTTGTTTCATTTTTGTTGGGATCGTTTCTGTTTCCTCTCTCATTTAAGGGCTTACATTCCATTCAGGTGAATAATTCTTGTTGTAAACGATGATAATTAAGGTATTGAACTTTCAGAAAGATACTTGCAAAATTATGATGGCATCAAGCTTAATTAAGGTATGGAATATTGCTGATTAAATTATTCATTTGAACTGGCTGAACTTTCCCAACTTTCACTGGTATGTTTTGTGGTGCGACGGGGTTCATATGCGTGTTATTATATTTGGATATCAGTTTTCACTACACCCCATTTGAGAATTTGAAAGAGAGGTGCTTGGAAAGGTCGGTCTGTGTGACTCATGGAATGTGAATGAACACAATAGTGATGAGCAAAAGAGCGAAGCATCCTGATAGTGGAGGTTGGAGAACCCTTTTTTAGGTGGAGGAGCAGCCTTTTGGAGGTGAAGGGATTGTTAGTTTATTGAGGGTTATTCTATTAGGTGGTTGGGCCTAGATGCTTGTGGGTTGTCAGGAGGAGCTTACTGGATATTATTGTATGTGTATATCTGCTAGGGGCTTATGTGATAGATTTAGAGGGCCTGCCTTGGATCAGTCAGACTTTCTATGTCCTTTCCTTTTTAGAAGCATTAATCAGGGACTTAAGCTACCACTTAAGGAATAGAATCATGATTTTCTTTTTTTACCCTTATTGGTTTGGAATATTTATAGGGCAGATGAAATTGGAGATTATGGACCTGTAATCATGCTAGGGAGTAAACAAAAGATCCTGTCTGAAATTTTGTCTTCTCTATGAGTTATTTAAAGTTGGTTTTTATTTATTTATGCCAGTAGTGTTTTCTTTTTTTGGGGGTGGAGGGACATTTGGAGTTGAGGGTGACACGGGGAGCACATCCTTTGGCCATAATGATCTTTTTTTAGGGTTATGTCTTGGGAGAGGCTTTGGCATCCCTTAATGAACTGGATTTCAGGTATATGTTTGGTTTTATTGGGAATATGTTGGGGTGAAGAATGATTGTAATCTCATTGATCATCTCCATCATCTTTATCATAGCTTTTTCCCAATTAATTGGGGTCGGCTACATGAATCCTGGTCTGCCATTTTACTTTATTGAAGACCATCCCTCAGTGAGGCCGTAAGTCCCCATATCTTTTCGAACTACTTCCAACCACATCCTTTTGGGTCTACCCATTGTCCTTTTCAGTCCTCCCACTTGAACTAACTCGTATTGATCATATTTTTCTTAAATTTGATTAGGGGTATAGGGCCTATAATGAACTGGATTTCAGATATATGTTTGGTTTTATTGGGAATATGTTGGGGTGAAGAATGATTGTAATGTCATTGATCATAGTTTTCTTAAATTTGATTAGGGGGATAGGCTTTTAATATGGATGGTTGGGATAGATTTTGTGCATTGTTTCCTTTTGATAAATCAGATTCTGTTTTGTATTAAGTTGGTTCACAATTCAATTTTGGCCACCAGCTAACCTGATGGCCTTTAAAGAGATTGGGCCTGAGGAGTTCCTTATTGTCGCTTATTCTTGAAGTTCTTGGTGGAGTGCTTATATCTAATTGAGAGAGTTGTCGGGGGTGGTCTAACGAATGTTTTAGAAGGCACCAAGCAGTTAGGGGCGGAACGGCCGCCTAGGTGTGATTCAGCCACCTAGGTGGGTGCCTCTGTTTCAAGGCACCCAGAGACATATTTATGCAAGCCCAGACATATATATATATATATGGAAGATACTACAAAAACGCCTATAGTCGAAAATGAACAGTGATTTCGCCTACCCTCATCACCGTCCAAAGTTCATCGTACGGTCACGATTGTTTGATAGTGTTTTATTTTTCATTTTTTTTTTACAAATTGGAATAACTTGAAATTTGAAGCATGTGGTTCATAAAAAATAGGCGAATCTATAAAAAATATCAAAAAAATATTTTACATGAAAAAATTGATCAAAATACCCGAGAAAAGTTTCAATGGTATTTTGTTCAATTTGGTTTTTGCGAATTATTTTTCTTTATATTTTTATTAGGTGCGCCTCACTAAGATGTACATACGCTCCAAATTTCAGATTATTCCGATTTATACAAAAAAAAAGGAAAATGAAACACTACTGGACAATCGTGACCGTGCGATGAATTTTAGACGATGATGAGGGTAGGAAAAATCACTGTTCATTTTCGCCAATATGCGTTGGGAAGGCTTTTCCTCTCTCTCTCTCTCTCTCTATATATATATATATATATGCTCACATATGTGGCCCAAACATACATATATGCCCAAAATGCACATATTTACATGCTTATATATCTGTAATCAATGGAACATTAAAAAATTGAAAATGAAAGTTTCAAAGTTTGACTAGGTATGCACAATTCTAGTTTCCACAATATAGAGAAAAGAGTATAAAAGAAATTGTAGGCAAAATGGAATTAGGTGCATCATATAAAGTCTTCATCTTCTTCATCGTGATTCCAAGCTATCTTCATCATAGTCACACCTTCCCAACGTAATTTCTCTCCTTAGTCCCTGCTGAATCGGCCTCCTCCTTCTTGTGCCAGGCATAGCAGTCGACCTAGTGTCTTCCTAGGGTTAGAAGAGAGCCCTGAAACCTCCTCTACCATATCCTAAGTCAAAGCCTCACCAGGGAATACCTCTTTTGCTCCAGGATCAACCAACTATTAAATAGAGTCATTGATGATCTACAACACTTGGATACTTCTTGTCACATTCATTAAAGTGCTTCTTTAGCTTGTAATTATACTGGATGAATACTGGATAATGAAGTTTTTTCAAGCCTATTCTTTTTCTTTATATGCAACTGTTGAGTAATAAAGTTACACAATAAAGCTAACTTATTAAAGCATGAAATCAGAAGTTGTTCTTTGAAATTAGTTATCCCAAATAGTTGGGAGAAGGCTCGAATGATGATGATGAAAATGCTCACATCAGATTTACGTATTGGATATACAAAATCCTCATAAGATGTGAGTTCCATGCAACCCACATCCTAGTTGCCCTGTACAGAAAAGAGTAAAAAGCAAAAACATAAGAGCATCAAAATCAAAAACCCACAAGTTGGGTGCTCAAAACCTAAAGAGATCAAAAAATAAATGCGTAGCAACCCATAGGGCGGGTGCTTAGCACACAGAGGGTGGCAGCCTACGAACTAGGTGCTCACACAAAACTCAAAAACTCGGTGTACCAATCACTGATAGAGAGAGAAAGGAGAGATAGACAT